CTGAAATGTCTACATATATTAAAAAAACTAACTCACTGCTCCTTCACTCATGGTTGCCCATGAGAAAGAGAGGGAGCATAGTTATTATGTACCAAAAAATGAAATACATACACACACTTACAAAATACCCAGAAACAAAACAAAATCATTAGGCTCCTGTCTTCCACACACATTTATGAGTGAAAAAGGTAGAGGGTTCTCCAAATTAAAATTAAAATACAAAATATGCAGTACATATTATGATCATTTAAATATATGCACGATGCATGCTTACCCCAGAAAGAGGTAGAGGCTTCATTCTGCTCATCTTAACCCCGCCAGGAGAGCTTCCATTGTTGTCATCATTATTATTTGGTGGCCATGGATGGCTTGAGGTCTGCTTAGGCCCTCAATGATGCTGCTTGGTTTCAGATAGCCTGTTTTGCAGGCATAAAACCTCTTTCTCACATCTGAATGAAGGAGTAGTGGCTCTTGCCTCAGTCAATCTTCTTTCCAGTTGTAAAGGGCTCAGACTTTCACCCATTTGGCTGCTATCTCCTGGCAATAGCACTTGAACACTGGAACCTACTATAACGTGTGCTGGTTCATAATCACCTTAGATAGATTGGGAGCTCTATTTTCAGCCCTTTCTGTGATGTCTCCCATGGCTAGTTTGCTGGTAATACCTCAGATGTCCTTTGCAATCTTCTCGTATGTCCAGCCCTTGAGAAGGAGGATTCCTCGTTGATGGTGATAGGAAATGTTGGATGAGCCATCTGATTCATTTGTACTGCTGGCGCCCTGGTCCTTGTTGCCAATGTTGAAGACTTGGTTTCCAGTTCTTTACATCCCTTTAGATGCATCTAGTGCCAGAAACCTTTTCTTGGGCTTAGAGATGTAATGGTCTCATTGAATACACAACCACTTCTGTTGTCTTCTTACAATTGTTGTACTGCACCCTACAATAGGACAAATCATCGAGTCCCTCTTTTCCAACAGTGGTATTTACTTATGATGCTGGGCCACTTGGAGGTTATGATCCTCCAGATGTGATAGTTGTTAAGTCCAGTGATAATGTGATAGTTGTTAAGTCCATTGATTATCACTTGAAAGCCAAGGAATGCCACTTCCTTTCAATCATAAAGTGCTCCACCTAATGATTTTCCTAGCTTTAATGATCAATAATTGAACCATCAAAAGGCTGTTGGTATTTTATCTGTCAGTTGAATCTGTTAGTCATTTAAATTTTAATCAACTCCTCTTCTGGTTCATCGAAGAACATCAGATAAGTTCCCTTAGCTTCTCCGTTGCCAGACAGGTTGGATGACTAGAGATAATCTCCTTGTCCTTCCCCAGTTCATCAGTGTCCTCTTCTGACTGTGTGTAAAGCAGTGCACGAAAGGCTTCTCTGTGATGCATGGTTGAGCTTATTTACATGTTCCACTTACCTTTGTGCTACTTGTGTCTCCTGTAGCTAATATATTAGATGACCAACTGAGTGTCAGGTATAGACTAATCCAGCTAGATACAAGTTGCTTTTGTGCAGATAGCACATGCACAACTGTACTCAGTCACCAAACATCTGTTCTTTTACCATCCAATCATAACACTTCTCTTGATGTGCAGATATTTCTTATTAACTTCTACGGAAATGCTATAGTGCTACTCAAGAAGAAAATTATAGTCTGTATAGCTATACAGAACAACATGCACCATTGTTTTGGCTTACAGTGCCTTGCAAAAGTATTCACCCCCTGCGCTGGTAATATATTTTAGGTATTTTCTTGTGAAAGACATAACTCAAATGGTCAAAAATATTTATTATATTAATCTCAGACCAGTTTCTAAAGATTACAAAAAACAATAGGCGCATTGCTACCCAATTTAGTGATATAACACAAAAAATCTTGAAAACACA